AGCAAGAAAAAAATCTCCCACAAGCTGAAGGTACAAATGCTAAAATAATCATGATGATAATATCTAGATTATGGTGGGGTGTTTTGGGGTTTTTTTTTTGTTTTTTTTTTTTGGTCTTTTTAAGACAGGGTCTCCCTATGCAGTTCAGGCTGGCCTTGAGCTTGCTTTGTAGCCCAGCCTGGTCTCAAACTCACAACCGTCCTCCTGCCTCAGCCTCCCAGGTGCTAGGTTTGTTTTGTTTTGTTTTCTCATAAAGGGACAGAATTAAACTACCAGCCATGGCAGTAGGTAAACCCCGAAGAGTAATGGGAATGAATGATTGTGTTACACGAATCTCACAGTGTAGGCCAGGGCATTAACGGTCAGCTCTAGGTTTTGGTGTGTGGGTGTGTCTCATAGATTCTCAAAGGCAATGGTCCTGGAACTTCAGCACCTGGGACTTGTGAAAACATGGGTACCCGGCCACCCCCACGATGTCCACTGAGTCCCACAATTTTTATGATGCACAAGCTCCAGCCTCCTGATGCTGGCAGCCCAGGGATCCCACTCTGAGAACAGTAGTCCAAACTCAGAGGCACCAATGGCTTAACTTCCAAGCCAGAAGAGAGGGGAGAACGGGAGGAGAAACCTAAAATGTGTGTAGACCAGGTCCGCCCTCCCGTCTGGACCAGCCCTGTCCAGGAGAAATGGGCACCAGTCAAACGGGTCACCTTAGGTCTTCAGGTAGCCACACTTAAAAAGATGCAATTGAGATGAATTTTAATTAATGCTACCTTTTATTTAAAGCCACACACCCCACATATCATCATGTTGATATGTGATCGGTGCAAAAGAGATTCACACAGCAGCTGACAAATCTTTGTTTCCCCATAGTAAGTCTTCAAAATCCAGCATCTCCTTGACACTTTAGGCGCCTCTCTATGTGACAAGCACTTAGGTCCGTGCGGCTGGAGTCACCTTTCAGGACAGAGCAGGTCAAGCCTGTGACACAAGCCTGCAGGGATCTGAGATCTCTTCGAAATTACCAAGTGTCCACTCTATGCCAGACACTGGGCTGAGCCCTGCCCTCAGTCCCTCCTGCCATCCTCCCATCGTCCAACAGAGCATGGATTATCGACCATTTTACAGATGAGGAAACTGAGACCAAGAAAACTGAAAATCATTACCCCGAGACCGTGTCTGGTGAGCAGCAGAGCTGGACGTGAGTCCCCATCTCTCTTGCTCCTGGGTCACTTTAACCTTCTCGGCCGAGGCCATCTCTGCAAGCCATCTTGCAACAGGCCAGAGGCTGATTATTTTAGGCTCTGTGGGCCAGGCATCTGTGCCACAGTCGTCAGCGGGTAAACAAAGGGATGAGGCTGTGGCTGGATCAAAAGTGTATTTAGAGAAGCACATGGAGGGCTGGATGTGGCTGAGGAACATAGTCTGACCCTGCATCTGGCACACAGCGAGGTCCTGGGCAGTCACGATGATGTTAGCTGTGGTCAGGCCACTGATGTCCTGTGTGTGCATGTGTGTGCACATGTGTGTTCTGTGTGCAGGCACGTGCTTTGGGATGTGTGTGTGCTGGGCCCACGTGGCAGGCAGATAGCCTCTCATGTCTGAGTCCCCAGGCCTCCGAGCGCCCGGTAGAGGCAGGCAGGTTACCTCTCAGGGCAGCTTCCCAGGGGCTCAGTGCGGCCTCTGACCCCAGCGCCCAGCGCTGAGCCTGGCTGTAAACGTGATTTATTCCCACTCTCAGGGCTGAGGAGGGGCAGAGGAGCCAGAAAAAAACACGGCTCAGTGCCTGTGTTTTGGAAATCGTCTTCAGTGAATGGCTATGACCCTCCCTCGGTCCCTCTCTCCTGGTGGGTCAGCCCCGAGGGGCAGGGGAGCGGGTACTGAGTCCCCTGGGAGCCCTGCTTGGGTCTGGACTTTCAAGAAATAATGGGAATTGGAAACCAGCTCACCTCCTACCAGCATGACCAAGGCCTGTGAGTGATAGAATAACACACAGACAGACGCACTCACACACACTCACACACACCCACACTCACACTCCCAAAACACCCATGCACATCCACGCAGACAGCTTAGCCACTCAGGAAATTCATTTTGTCTTTGTCTACTGACCTGCCCCTCCCCGCCCTTCTTCCTGTTTACGCTGGTGTGTGTGTGTGTGTGTGTGTGTGTGGCCTGTCTCCCCAGGGACTGCGCTTGCCGTCACTTTCTCCTCCTCCCCATCCCCTGTGCTGCAGCCGAGCACTGCATGGACCCACCTGTCCGTCCCCTCCCCTGCCCACCAGCCCCGCCCCTCCCCCATCCTACCCAGGAGATTGAGAAGCCCTCTCTGGGCACCTGAGCTCAACTCAGATGCATTTGGTCTCAGTGGTGCAAGGGACCAGAGCAGCTGCAGGCTAAATTCTAGGTGTGGCGTGGAAGTGCCCAAGCCCTGGGGGAGGAACCCTCTAATGCTAGCATCAGCCATTTATAATATTCCTACCAGCTTAGGAGGTAGATTACTGCATCCGTTTTGTAAATAGAGAAACTGAGGCTTTGGAGAGTTTGCCTAAAACCTGGTCCACATGGACAGCCTGGGTCATGTGTTGGACATCAGAGTGAACAGATTTGGCCACACCTCACCTCTCCTCTACCCAGAGTCCACACCTGGTGCCACGTGTGGAATGCCATGTGTGGGAGCCTGTCACCCATCACTGTACCATGGGAGTCCTGGGCCCCATCAGAATTCCCTGGCAGGCAGGCTGCCTGGCAAGAGGGGCACCTGGCTGGGGTCTGAGCCCAGACTGGACATGGCTCCCCGCTAAATAAATTCCTGAGTGCATGGTTCAAACTTAGAACTGCGCAGAGCTCAGAGCCTACTGTTTTCCTGTGGGATACAACATGGCCTTGCCCCACTCAAGGTGGGGATACAGTGATATGGATAGTGACCCCCCTGTCCACCCCCACCTCATTACACTCACTGTGTGTGTGCCTCCCAGAAGGAGGGCTTTGTGGAGTAGGAAACTGAGGCACAGAGGAGAGAGGATTCTGTAGCACGGGGTGAGGGGAGGGATGATGGATGGGTGGGTGGTCACCGAGTGGGCGCAGGGCTTTCCATCCTTCCAGGAGCCTAAGCCAGAGGCAGGCAGGCAGGCAGGGAGGGAGGAGCTGGGAGCAGGCACTCTGTGACCCAGAAGAGTCTTAGACTCTGCTTTTGCTCAGCTCGGAATATATAATACAGTGGGAGCAGCCTGAATCCAGCTACTCAGTCCCAAATCCTCCAAGATCACAAACTTTAAGCACTGGCTCAGTGCCCCAGGTGGCAATGCAACTTGGGGAAACTGGGTTCTGGCACTGAAGCACTGGGCAAAGCCCCAGCGGGGTACGGTGCAGAAGGCGTACCTGAAACCCAACCCTAACCCTGCTTACACCTCATTCCTCCCCAAGACGGCCCCTCACCTGCTGCGCACGGCCCACGCTCAAGGGATTCGAAACCCAAAAAGCACTGCACCATGGATGGGCCCCCTGTATGTCCGATAAGGGAAACTCAGCCCGTGCAGGCCGTGCAGTAGCCTCAGGATGGAGTAAATATCCACGTGTTCACAAAGCCCCTCTCACACACGCGAGCACACACACATGCTCACACTCATGCACAATCACCCACCATCCCAGCAATCAACCATGGACGTAGTGCCGGGTTAAAACACTTCTCCTGTAACACCTTTTTAAATTAATTACATGAATTCCAGCTGTGAAGAGAGCGTAAGCGATCCAAATAAGCTCCCATTGATATTATTGTGTTATTGCTTCCTGCTTTAATTTTTCTGGGTTTTTTAATTATAAGTCTATACGTGACCAGGCATAGTGACACGTCCTGTAATTCTAGCACTTGCAAGGCTGAGGCAGGTGGATCACTATGAATTTGAGGCCAGCCTGGGCTACATAGTGAGCTCAAGATCAGCCTGGGCTACATAGTGAGATTTTTAAGAAGTCAAAAACTGACAAGCTAAAAAGCCTGTCCATGCATAGATGATACTTTGGCAGTAATGAAGTATAGCAAGAAGAAAATAGTCTTATTCTCCGCAGCGCCCAAACTCAGTAACCTACCCAAACCCAGTGGGAACTGGTTACCGTGACTTCACCGTATGCCTTGTCTGTACTGCTGGATACGCATTTTTACATCACTATAATGGGTCGTTATAATTAGATCACGATGGAGAGTTTGGGCTGGGTCCTTTCTAATGGGGCTTATTTAAGGTTACTGTATTGCGTCTGCCTGCGTCTTTCCTTAGCTGGGTCAGAGTGAGTCTCCTCCTCCGAGGGTTCTGCAAGGCCGGGACTTTGCCTGTTCCCGATGTCAATGCAGCCAAGCTAACTGCTGAGGGGACCGGAGATCGAGAAACCTTTAACTTTTTTTCTGCCTGTGAAGACCATTTCAGGCTTCAGCGTTAAGGAGAGGAGCTGAGCCCCATTTATCCCAAGAAAATGAATCGCCCAATTGCCCAAAAATGACTTCCACCGCTGAGTTTACAATAGTAAAACAACCCCGGTGCCCATCAATAGAAGTGACATAAATTACAGCACTGCCTGTCTGTGCCTCTCGAGCCACGGTGCCAATCTCTATCAAGACAGAATCTGTCCTCCGTGCATGGTGGTGACAAAAATGTGTCCCAGACAGGAGCGTGCCGTGCAAGCCTGTGACACTGTGTGTTTGTGTCTCCCAAAGAGTATTTAAGTGGCTCCAGCCAGCGCTGTCTCCGGTAGGCAGGGGGAGATTCTCCTGTTCTATTTCCCCTTCTTTCTAGAATAAGTGTATCTTTGCGATTATTCTCTTCTTTGCAGAGTTAAAGGTTACTTTTATGATGGGGAGGGGCACAACCTGAAATAAACCAAAGCCATGGTGATCTGGGGGGAGACCTGCCTGTGTCCTGGTCCCTAGGGTGCAGCCAGCAGCCCGGGCCCATGCAGCCCTGTTCCTACCCACCCACCCCAACGTAGCTGTATGTGCTTCTGTGTTGCAGACTCGGACAGCCAGTGCAGCCCCACGAGGCACAGCCTCAGCCTGTCGGAGGGCGAGGAGCAGATGGACCGGCTGCAGCACGTGGAGCTGGTCAGGACCACACCCATGTCCCACTGGAAGGCTGGCACCGTCCAGGCCTGGCTGGAGGTGGTCATGGCCATGCCCATGTACGTCAAGGCCTGTGCGGAGAACGTGAAGAGCGGGAAGGTAGGTGGCTATGGCCTGTGGTGGGACATCCCCTGCAGCTTCCTGTGGGCTCCACAGTCCAGGGGGCTGGCCTGTCCCTCACCCATCCTGCTCCTGGGGCAGCAGGAGGTGCAGTCTAGGAGCTGGTTGATCTGGGTTCCGGTTCCAAGATTCTGCCAAAGCATTACCACCCCCCCAGCAAGGCACAGAGCTCTTCAGAGCTTCCACTGCCATGTCTAAAATGGGACAACAAGCTGGGCATGCTGCCAAATTCCTGCCATCCCAGCCCCCTGGAAGGCTGAGGCAGGAGAATCTCGAGTGACCCCCCTTCCGGAGCAGGTGTTGCTGAGCCTGAGCGATGAGGACCTGGAGCTGGGCCTGGGTGTGTGCAGCTCCCTGCACCGACGCAAGCTCCGCCTGGCCATTGAGGATTATCGAGACGCGGAGGCAGGCAGGAGGTGAGCTGTGTGGGGAGGATGGAGAGAGATTAAAAGGCCTCGCATCACACAGCTGGGTGAATGGGGGCAGTGGGTCACGTGGGCCCCAGACAACACATGTGCATGCCCAATATGCACATGACACCCCTCCCAATCCAGGGAAGAGTGGGGGTGGGGACTCAGGGGGCCCCCCAGAACTCCTCCACCTCCATGGGTAGTCAGAGCTGGTCAATATCCCATACCCACCTACATCTACCCCAGCACTCCAGCTCTTGTCTTCTAGAACGGGGAAAGATGTCCCCGCCTGAGGAGGGGACAGAGGAGCTGAAGTGGCAGGAAGGGGCTTATGGGCTTGAAGTGTAGAGGGTCAGGTGGGGCCTGGGACTGGGGGGAGGCCCTCTCCCCCAGGTCCCTGCCCTGCAGAGTCACCCTGCACACAGGGCCCATGTCATCATCGACCCCCACATCCTTCCTCTGACAGACCAAGGACCCTCCTTCCCCAAGCAGCTCAGGGAGAGGGACACAGCCCCACCTACCCATCTGCAGCCTGCAAGGGGGGACCCAGCTTTGTAAAGCTGACACTTTCTCTTTTGCATAATTATCTCCTTCGCTGGCTTCCCACCATTTTCGTGCAGTTAATTAATCAAACCTGGTGGTGTGTGCAATTATTTGTGAAGCAGCTTCGAGGATTAAAAAATAGAAGGGGCTTTGGGATGGAGAATCAGGCCAGTTTGGAAGCAGGGAAACCAAAGCCACGTGTGGCTAGGAGAGATTCAGAGGTGACGGGCAGCGCTGAGATGACCTGATCAGAGCGCTGGGTAGCAACTCAAGCAAGCCAGGCATCTTGGTTACTTTCCTCTCCTTGCTGCAACAAAAATACAACACCCAAATCAAGAATGGAAACGTTTGTTTAGCTCACAGTTTGTGGAGGTTTCCGTCCATAATCAGCTGGCTCCAAGGCAGGGGGCAGGGGCACTACTTCAAGGTGGCAGAAGGCATCAAGGCACTAAGAGCAAACCTCTTTCCTCCCTAATATTATACACAGGGCAGGTGCCACGCTCACAGAATGTCCCCTTGCACAGGCTGAGGACAGGACAAAGAAAGAACCTTGGGTCCCTGCGGAGTCTCTTAGCTGAATTTCTAAACTTCCTAGTTGACACAGTGTATCAACCATAATACCAGAGAAGGAAGCAGGTGCCATCAGCAGGTCAGGGTGCTGGCCAGTCGTCCCAGGGAACAAGGCAGGGGCTGGGGAAGGGGTAGGGGTGCAGTAGGCCCAGGAGGCACCCCTCCCCGGGCTCCCCTGATAGGATCCCACAGCATCCACCCCATCACCCACTGCCCGAAGCCCTCACAATCCTCTTACCCAGACTGGAAATCCCTCCCACCCCCGGCCTGCTCCCAGAGGGGCTTGTGTCCAGAGAGCCAGGCGGGACCTTCTGTTTCCACTCTCAAAAAATGTGGGGAACCCTGACCACTGCCAAGGCCCCCCGAAACATGGATGTCTTAGTCTGCTTCGGCTGCTGCAACAAAACGCCAACCCCAGGCTCAAACAATGGACATTTATTTCTCACTCTGGGGTGCAAGCCTGAGGTCAGAAGCCAGGCACGATCGGAGTTGGGGTTCTCTTTCCTTCCTGCCCTCTCCTCGCCTGGCAGAGAAGTGGTGGGGAGAGGGGAGAAAGGGTCATCCCATCCTGCCAAGCGGTAGGAAGCTTTCTGGGCTCTGGGGTGAGAACCCAAATGAGGTCCTTCCAGCTGTGACACTGTGTGACCCTAGACACGATGCTGCCCTCTCTGGGCTGGTTCCCCTAGTGACAAACTTCTCTCCGTCTCTCTCTCTGTCTCTCTCTCTGTCTTTCTCTCTCTGTCTCTCTCTCTGTCTTTCTCTCTGTCTTTCTCTCTCTGTCTCTCTCTCTCTGTCTCTCTGTCTCTCTCTCTCTCTGTCTCTCTCTCTGTCTCTCTCTCTGTCTCTCTCTCTGTCTCTCTCTCTCTCTGTCTCTCTCTCTGTCTCTCTCTCTGTCTCTCTCTCTGTCTCTCTCTCTCTCTGTCTCTCTCTCTCTCTCTCTGTTTTGTGTGTGGTACCAGGGATCGAACTCACAACCTTGTGCTTGCCAGGCAAGCACTTATGCCACTGAGCTAAATCCTCAGGCCCCTAGTGACAAACTCCTGAGAATCCAACCCCTCGGCCGTTGGCCAATCCCTCACCTGACACAATCTGTCTCACCTCGGTGGTGGGCTGGCAGTCTCACCCGTCTTCCTGCTGGAAAGCGAGGCGCAGGGAACTCCCACACGGCAAGTCATGCTGCCAGACCTCCGACTTGGCCGGTGTTGTTTCCCTTCTGCCTTGTCACCCTAGTGTCCAGTACCGACCACCATTATCCATAGAATCCCTGTGATCCCAGACTCCGCAAGAAGAGTTTTCCGAGCTTGATCCCTAAGTCCCTGCACCTCCTTGAGGCAAGCATCACCCTCCCCATTTCACAGACTTGGAAACTGAGGCCCAGAGGTACAAGGTCATGAGCTCAGAGTGACAGATCCAGTTGGCCAGTGAACTGGATGGAGTCTACACCCTGCTGGGCCTCAAACTTCAAGGTTGAATCTGGCCCAAATTTGGAGTGAGGGTGGTGATTTTTATAAAGCATTTGTTATCACTTTCCAAGCCACACAATTAACTCGAGGTGGGCTCTTGCTGAAGCATAAACCAACAGCTGGGAAAGCATTGGGGAGCAGAGGCCCCGGGGACAGCTTTCAGAACAAGAGGACTGTGGCAAAGGGCCAGCGCGCATCCCTAGTCGGCACGCAGATGGGCATTGCTGATTATAAGTGGCCTCTCCTGAGTAGATCAGTGAGATGCCCACCTGAGCCCGCCATCCGGGTCTCTTGCCTCAGAAAGGAGGGGCTGATCTGACTTCCACAGGAGGATGGTCACGGGTGGGGGGTGGAGGTGAGGTCCTGGGAAGGTTCCTTTCCCGCAGGCTGGGTCACCCTGGAGGGCAGGGAGGGATCGGCCCAGGGTCTCAGCACCTGTTCATCCCTGCACGGAGCCTGGCTTGGGCTGGATGCTTCTGGCTCCCTGCCCTGCGCCCAGCCCTGCGGTGTCCAGCCAGATGGCTACAAAGCAGACACTGAGCTTAAACTCGGAGCTGAGTGGCACTGTCCCTGGGCCCTGCCCTGCAGGAGCTGACTATCTAGGAAGGCAGCAGGCTGGGTTAGCCCCACCCAGCCATGGTGGTGCGGGGATGGGGACCCTCAGGCGGGGGTAGAACCCGTAGGCTTAGTGGAGCTCGGTGGTCCACATAGTCTGAGGATTCAGTGCAGGCCAGAGGACAAGCGACAGGGTGCCCTGGGGCTCGGGGAGGGCCCAGCAGAGGAGAGGGGAGCCCACTATATGTCCAGCACTGCCACCCACAGCAGATCACGGCCCCTATTCCCTAGGGTGGCACAAGGCAAATCCATTCCCTTCTAAGGTGCAATGTGTACCGGGCAGGGCTGGTGAAAGACCTGAGTCCCAGGCCAGCCAGGCTGCACGGGGAGCCCAAGGCCAGCCTGAACTGCAGAGTGAGGCTCGCCTCAAGGAAAACAAATGCGGCAAAATGCAGTGTGTGGGTTAGTGCTTTGAGGGAAAAACCAGGGACTAAATAGCAGGATTGGGGGGGGGCAGCTTTAGAAAGGGAGAGGGAATCCAATATGGAGGGAGAGGAGGAGGGGGCCATGGCAGGGCTGCAAGGAGCCGGGTCCCAGGGAGACAGAGACAAGGGGATCGGTGCACCCCAGAATCGCTGCTGCCTCTCCCCACCATCTGAGTACAGAATAAGGGGGCAGTTGCTGAGGGCTTTATGGGCAGCACCCTGCAGGTCACTCGGGGATTTGATTGTCATGCAGGGAGAGAGGACAGATCTGAGTGACGGGTTGATTTTTTGCTTGTGTGTGTGTTTTTTTTGTTTGTTTTGTTTGTTTGAGATAGGGCCTCACTATATATTTCAGGCTGGCCTTGAACCTACTAAGTAGCCAAGGCTGGCCTCAAACTTGCAGCAGTCTTCCTGCCTCGGCCTCCTGAGTACTGGGATTATAGGTATGTGCCACTGTGCCTGGCCCAAATTAGATTCTTAATACAGCAGAAGTCCCCCAAGGCCGGCTCTAATTGACAGTTTTAAAGAACACTGTGGTGACCACAGGGAATGTGGATGGATGGGCCGTGGGTGCAGACATGGGGTGGATTGGAGGCAGTTTCAGGAAATCCACATGGATATGGTTCTGGATTGCCGCTGGAGAAGGAGAGAAGGGGACAGAGGCACGCTGACCCGAGGGCTCTGTGGACAGGACAGGCAGAGGAATGGGAGGTCGGGCAGGGGCTCTGGAGCTGGACAGGGAGGTTGTTAGAAGGTGGGAGGGGAAAGGGGGCCAGAAGAGGCATGGAACTCAGAGGCTCAGAGGACAGGCCAGATGGGTGCATGGGGTCCTCACCGATGCAGCCCAGAGCCCTGGGGCTGGGATTCCCCAGGGAGGAAGGCGCATGGGGGAAGACGGGCCTGTTTATGGCAGCATCTGCACCGAGCTCGGTGCACAGATGCCCTGGAGGCCTCAGTGAGATGGGGTGGGTGGGGTCAGTGAGAGGCCGGGCAGGCCTCGGCAGCAGTGAGGCAGGACCAGCGGACTCTGCCAGGGAGGAGGCTGTGACCCTCTGTGAGCCTGTTGAGGGCTTTCCCTGGCACCCAGTCAGCCCTCATGTCCTGTCTTGGCTCCCACTTAGAGACCGCTTCCCGCGCAGTGCCTGGTCATTTTTCAGAGCCCCACTTCAGTGGTGGGGGAGGACACAGTGGACCTCATTCCCTCTGCAACGCTGCCACCGTGTGGCTATCTAAGGAATGACAGCCAGGGACCCCGGGCACCAGGCACATCCATAGATGGACCCATTGGAAAAGCAATTGTTGTGCACCTACCATGCACGCACCACTGGTAGTCTGGGCGGGACATGGAGCAGTCTGAGATATGGTAGTGAGGTGGCAAGAGAGGATCGGACTAAGCAAAGCACGGGGCACCATCTACTTGTTTGTGGAAGGACACGAGACCCAGCGCTTCCCTAGGGAACGCGCTGCAGCGGCCACAGCTGATGCCTCTTGTCACGGTCTCCAAACAGGAGGACAGACAGAAGGCAGGGGTGCCCCAGGCTGCGGCACTGCGGGTCTCAGAGCTCCAGGAGACCACCTGCCCCTGTGGCTTTCTTGGTCCCCACCCCATCCTCCTCGCCCTGCTCCCTTCCCACCATCCCCGTGTTTGGCCGCCTTCCCCACCCGCTCCTCTCTGTGGCCGTGTCTCCCCCAGCCTGTCCAAAGCTGCCGAGCTGGACCATCACTGGGTGGCCAAGGCCTGGCTGAACGACATCGGCCTGTCACAGTACTCCCAGGCCTTCCACAACCACCTGGTGGACGGGCGGGTGCTGAACTCCCTGATGAAGCGGGACCTGGAGAAGCACCTGAATGTGTCCAAGAAGTTCCACCAGGTCAGCATCCTGCTGGGCATCGAGCTGCTCTACCAAGTGAACTTCAGCAGAGAGGTGAGGACTGGCACCGGCGCCACCCACAGCCTGCCCGTGTGTCCTCTCACCCGTCTATCGCCCCCCCACCAAGCCATCTCTCCCTCCCTCTCTCCTGCCAGCAGCTTCACTGGTGGGTCCCAGTGAGGGAAGCCCAGGTTCACGAATGCACCAGAAGAAGGCTCTGGGGAGCCAGGGGAGGGGCTTCCTGAGGCCTGGAAGGGGGCTTCCGGGGACCCACAGAAGACAACAGCAGAAAAGTGCTCAGCGGAGAGAACCGCCAGTGTCCCCGAGGACAGGGCCCCGGGTGCAGGGAGAGCGCCCAGGGGCTGAGGGTGGCAGTAAAGAGTCCGGACTCAGCGCCCTCCATCAGGAGCTCTGCCCACCTGGAGAGCGCAGGGCACCAGCTTTGGCTCTATGGGGCACCCAGGACATCTACTTATCTGTCCCTGAAGGAGAGGCCCTTAGCCGCTGGGTCCTGGCACTGGGTCCCAATGGCTTTTCCTAGAACGATGTTGGAGCCCAGGTCAGGAGATGGGGCAGGACCATGCAAGTCCTCACCACTCCCACAACGAGTGTGGGCCCCTGGGAACTGGCTGGGTCAAGGACACCAGCCCTGAGCCCAGTCTGACAGTGGAGCAGATGTGGGAGGTGGTGACCATCACTCATGGTCAGGGCCCTGAGGGTCTGCAGGTTGGTAGCCTGCAAGGGTATCTCCATGGAAAACTCGGTCTAGAAGTTAGACCCTGGGGTGACAGGAGAGGATGTCAGAGTGACCTCTGTGGACCCCATGGGTTGTGTCTTACACCAGGATGTAAGTGAGGGCGCACTCCCAGCCCACTCCTTCCCTCCCAGAAACCTGGGCCCCCGTGGGGAGGGCCCAATATCACCGAGTCCCCACTCTAGGCAGATGAGCTGGGATCCCTAAGGGGGATATAGAATAGGTGGTGCTGTGGGGCTCCCCCACCCCAGGACAGAGGCCACAGGACAACATGCACAAGCAGCTGGGGACCATGGTGGTCTCCTCCCCAAGCAGACTGAGGCCTCTGGTTCCCCATGGACCTTGCCCCACATGTGGCCTCTGTGTCTCAGCCCTGGCTCACCCCTTGTGTCTTCCAAGGCTCTCCAGGAGCGCCGGGCCCGCTGCGAGACACAGAACACAGATCCCGTGGTCTGGACCAACCAGCGGGTGCTCAAGTGGGTGCGTGACATCGACCTGAAGGTGAGAAAATGACTGGGGTGACCCTGTCCCTCCAGCAGGGGCGAGTCCTCTGCAAATCTGTATGCAAATCACTGCCTACGCCTGCGTCTGCGCAGGCCTGGCCCTCACTCCAGTCACCGGAGCAGGTCAGGGCTGAGATCCGGGTGCCCCCCCCCCCGCCAATAGACACGCACGACTCCTGCTGGGTGGCAGCTGTGTGCATCGCAAGTGGCCCCTGCCCTGTGGCTCTGAGCTGGTGGTCCCTGGGAGCCAAGCCTTCCTGCTGGGGACACGTCTCTGCCTAAATCCTGGGCCCCCCGGGCTGCCCAGCCTCCCGCCTCTGCCCCCAGGAGTACGCAGACAACCTGACCAACAGCGGCGTGCACGGCGCGGTGCTGGTGCTGGAACCCACGTTCAACGCAGAGGCCATGGCCACCGCCCTGGGCATCCCCAGCGGGAAGCACATCTTGCGCAGGCACCTGGCAGAGGAGATGAGTGCCATCTTCCACCCGGCCAGGTGAGGGCGCACTCCCAGCCCACTCCTTCCCTGATGGGATCCCTGCCGTCCTTGCGCCACCTGGTGAGGAAACTGAGGCTCAGAGGCACCCGGTGGAGGTCAGCCACTGGCAGGAGGAAACAGTATGCAGGTCTCAAATCCAGCACCTGTGTACATAGAGCAGGAAGAGCTAGCAGCTGGGGGTAAGGAGAGGCCACGAGGACGGGATTCAAGCTGGGGACAGTGGTGTCGGTCCAGCAGGGCGAGGTGGCCATTCCAGGAGGGGACAGAGGACAGAAGCAGGAAGAAGTGGCCAATGATGCTTGTCGCCAAGTGGGAGAGCACAGCAATGCACCTGCCTCGGCCTCCTCAACTGGGCAAGCTTCCGGCCCTGCCGGTGGGTCCCCTCCCCAGGACACACTCGGGGTTGGCCAGACCTTGCAAGGGCACTAAACTTACTCTCCTGAGAAGGCTGAGGCAGCAAGAGCTCCCCCCACTTATTGATGAGAAATCTGTTCTAAGTAAGTGACCCCACTCTATGCCCACTGTCACCCAGCCAGCAAGAGGCAGAGCCCAGGTGTCCCATTCCGTCTATATGGTGAATTGCACAGGTTGATTTTCAGAGATCGGAGGAACATTTCTGGGATGAAGCTCACTGGGTCACAATGCTTCACCCTCATTCTATGTTGCCAGATTTGTTTTGCTAGTATTTATTTATGACACTGCCCTGAGCTACATCCCGAGCTTTTTTTCAATTTGTTTTTTTGTTAAATGTCAAGGCTAGGCTCAAATTTGGACTCCTCCTGCTTCAGCCTCCCGTAGTGGTGGGATGATAGGCCTTCACTGCCACACTCAGCGACTTTGCTGGTATTTCGTGAGGATTTTTGGCCTTGTATTTGTCAGGGATACTTGTCTATAGTTTTTGTGTTTGGGTGTGCGGTGTGTGTGATATTTTCACCTGGCTTTCGTATCAGGTCAGTACCAGCCCCTGAAATAAGTTGGGATGTGTCTTCTCCTCTATATTTTTAAAGCGTTAGCAGCACTGGCGGTTCATTTACCACCGAAGCCATCCGCTTTGAAGCATTTCTTTGTGAGAAGTGTTTTGATTACTAATTCAATCTCTTTACTTCTCAGGGATTTATTCAAATTGTTTCTTTTGAGTTAGTCTCAGGAGTTGATAAGCTTTCTAGGTGTTTGTCCGTTCCTTCTAGGTTAGCCGATTTGTTGGCATGTGATTAATCCCATAATCGTTCCCTGAGGATGCGTCTGATTCCTGCAGCTGGCTCAGTCCTAGCGCTGCTCAGTCCTGCCTTTAGTGGGCTGCTTCCGCTTGGCTTGCCTAAGGGCTCATCCACTGTACAGCTCTACCTCAGGTTTGCACCTGGGGCTGTCTAACTCAGGCCTGAGCCCTGAACCCCAGAACCCATGGAGTCTCGAGGGATAGCTGGGCCAACCCTGGTGTCACAGGGGCAGGAAGCAGAGGTTTGGGAACACGGTGTCTGGTGGGTCCTGCTGTCTAGTTGGCATGTGAGACCCCCGTGGCAGGATCATCGAGGCTCTTACAATGCAGATACCTGGGTCCTGTTGGAGCTGCAGGGCCAGCAGCAGCTGGCAGAGCCCAGGGATCGGCTCCATTTGCATTTTAAGTGCCTTCCAAGGGAGAGCAGAATTTGACAAGAGCCTTGCTCTTCGAGTGAGCGGGAGAGAAGCTTTTCTTCTCCGAGCCTTCACTGTTCCTGACCTTCCAGCTCAGCCACCGAGATTTGAGACAGACTTAAAGTATCTCGAGCCATGAGGGTGGCTCGAGCTAAACCTTAGGGGGCACCAGTGGACTTGATTAAACCTGGGCCATCACAAGCCCACAGTGTGCTTGGGGCTGTCTGGGACCAGTCGGTGAGTGTTGGGGAGTTTCCAGTGGGAGACAAATAAGGTGGCCCTTTGGTCCTGGTAATCCAGAGGCTCTTGGGGATCACAGGACAGCATAGAGGTCCTGCTGGCGGGGCAGAGAACAGAGAAGGCTCCTCCAATCACACATGAGGCATCAGAGGCCGGAGAGCCAGGGGCAGAGCAGCAGAGCCAGCCCCGAACCAAGCCCAGCTCCCCATCTCGATCTGTCCACACACTGCTGTCCACACGAGCTTATGAATTGAAGCCTCCTTGCTGGGATTTCAGAGCCTCACGGCCCTTTTCTGAGACTCTGCCACAGCCAGGAGAATGGACTTTATCAGCAGAGGTGACGCAGAGATTCATGCTTCTGGGGAATTTTAGAGACCAGCTCGGTGACTAGAAGTGTCCCCAGCTAGACAACCAGGGCTGTGGCCAACCCCAGGGGAAGCACAGTCAGCCAGTTCACAGGTCCCCTATGATGTCCTCTTTCCCGCCTGCTGCCATCACCATGGCAACACATCCGACCATGGGGATGGAGGAGGCAGGGTTTCTGATGTCACTCAGTGTCTGTTTTAACACGCTCAGACTTCCTGATTCCCCCCACAAACCTCTGTTTGTGGAAGGAACCTGTTTGTATATACCAAGTGCGTCAGCCACAGGTGCGGTGCTCAGGAAGATGGACCTGAAGGATGCAGGACGGAGCAAAGCCATTCTAGGGGCATCTGCTGGGGCATCAGAGGGCCTGCACAAATGGGTGCCCGGTCCCAGGCGTTCGCCTGTCCCCAGAGCACAGGCAGTGACAGGGCAGGTTCCACCCTCGGTCTCTTTGGATTCAGTTAGGCTTCCTGCGGAGCCTTCTCCTGGGCCTCTGAAGCCTCAGGCAAACCTTGCAACTGCCTCCTGCTGGCGGCCCCAGGCGTCCTCTTTGGTTTCTAGGGACTTGAGAGTCCTCTGCACCTCCAGCATCCTCTCATCCTTCTTTCTGCAGAGGTGGCTGGAAGGGGACATTGTCACATGGCCAGAGCTGCGGGCTTCCTGGGGACAGGTTCCTCAATGAGGAAATGAGGTATCACAAGATCATACCTTTTTCCCAGGACCACCAGCTGATGCACTGTGGCCCTGGGGCTCAAAGGTGACACTTTACTGCCTTCCTGTTGCTAGGGAGAGGGACTGAGATGGTGGGGGATTGTGAGGACCTGGCACCTGTCCCCCACCCAGAAGGTGGCAGGCAGGCAGTGTGACTGCAGGGGACAGAGCAATCAGAACCTCGCATGCCCCTGAGGGACCAGCCGTGTCCTCCAGAGCCCCAGCGTCTGGTCCACACCCGAAGCCAAGTCCCTGGGTGGTTTATCAGGCTGTTAGGGTCCACTGCTCGCCCTCTTCTTGGTGGCCACCTGTCCTCACTCAGCAAAGCTACACAAACCCGTGCGTCCTGGCCACCCCAGCCTCCTCCCCAGAGTCACCCCCATCACAGCACTGTAGCTGGCTTCCATGAACCCCAGGGCTGGAGGAAAATGGAGATTTCCAGCCTGCTCTTTTTACACCCAAGAAAGCAGAATCCCAGAGAAGGCAGTCACTTGGCACAGTGTCACACAGCGAATGGGCAGGACTGTAACCTGGACATCTGGATCTCCCCTGAGATCCAGGCTGCAGTGGGGGGGGGGGTCCCCTTGGTAGCCACAAAGCAGAGCCTGAGAGACAAATGCTATGGAAGAACCAGCCCAGGTTTCTTCTTTCTTATGGCTCTGTGTATCCAGAAAAACTTTAGTTCCCCAGTCAGGCCAAAAGCAGGTGAGCGGGAGCATGCACAGATGCACGCCCCAACCAGAAAAACCTTCCATATTCGCATGAGGCAATATGGGTTCAGATCCGAGCAGCACCAGTTCCCAGCCGTGTGACCTCAGACAAGTTACCTAACTCTCTAATTTCCTCATCTGCACAGTGAGGCTCATCCTCAGCATCTGTCAAGCCAAGATGTAAACTGACGTGCAGCGTCACTGGTGAGGGACAGGTGCATCTAAAGGTACACAGTAAACACAGGGACCATTGTCCTAGACCGCCACCGCTGCCACGTTTTCTGGGTTGGTGGCAGCTTTGTGCTGGCGTCTCAGAGGGGAATGTGATTCTGTCATGAGCTCAGCTGCTGGATCCAGTGTGATAGGACAAGAGAACCCAGTGTCACGTCCCAGGCCTCGGCTGCCAGGTTTCCCAAGCCCGTGTCCCAGAGGTGCCAGCCATGGACGGGGGGCCTTGGGTCACTGCGTGGACGGGAGGGCCAGCACTGGAACGTGGTGTTTGGAGATTCTTCCCCGAACAGTCCCTGGAATGGGGGCTCCGAGCCCAGGTGCAGGACGAGTGGTGGCCTTTTGCTATGGGACCCAGCAGCGCCTTTGGGGGCTCAGTGCCGGCTCCTCCCCCACTCAGCCTGGCTGCAAGGGTTGTGTCCCACATCCTCTCCCTTCCCTTCCTGCTCCATGGCATCTCCATGCCCATGGCTTGGGCCACTCCGCGATCTGGACCCTGGGCCTGACCCACAGCGTGCAGGAAGCAGATGTCCCCCTTGGGCCCCACAGGCTCGCAGTGGTGGCCACTGAGCCTCACGGGAGTCGCTGGCCTTCCAGAGAGTGCTGGGCCAATTGATGTCAGAACTGTGGGTCAGAACGAGACCTGGGAGATAGATATGCAAATTGGGGGGCGGGGTAGGAGGCCATGGCCGGACTATGATTCACCCCCCACTAAGGGGCGGAGGTCTAACCCCCAAAGTCTGCTGTGAATGGAATTACAAGAATGGAGTATAACCTGACTCTGAGGTCTTTGCAGAGTGATTAGTGAGCGGATTAGGTCACTGTAACAGGGTGTCTAACTCTTTCAAGAAAATACATAGACGGGAAATCACTGGATCAAACAGAATTTGTAGTTTACGTTTCCTGAGGAATTTCTGTATTGCTTTCTAGAATGGTTGTACCAGTTTGCATTCCCACCAACAGTTAAGAAGGAAGGCTCCTTGTTTCCCTGTAGCCTCACTGTCATTTGTAATCTATTGACTTCTTGACAACGGCCGTTTTTTCTGGTGCGAGATGGAATCACAGTCTTTTCCACTTGCATTTCTCGAACGGCCAGGAACATTGAACAGTTTCTCATGAATTTATTGGCCATTTGGAGTTTTTCTGAGAACTGTCTGTTCACGTTGCTTGGCCAGTTTTTATTGGGTCTTTTATTTTGCAGGGAGTTGAATTCTTTTTTGAGTTCTTTATATATTCTAGATATCAGTCCTCTGTCTGAGGAACAGCTGGAGAAAAACTTTCCCCTTTCTGTGAGATGTCTTTTTTTTTTTAAAGTTCCAAAGGTTTATTGCACCAAATGCCACAGAAAAGGGATCAAAACAACACAAGCAAGTTTTAAGAAAAATTTCCCACACATTGACATTGGTATCTATTCAACTGATCAAAAATGAAGTCCCTATCAATTTCTCTTAATGAAGCTTTAATAGTAACATACCCCAGAATTCTCTGGTTTTACCCACCACTTAAAATGTAAGCATAGTGTAACCTCACGTCCCAAACAGGTGGTTCACCAAAATTTGACATTTAAAAATTAACATTTAGAGTGGGCTGTTTGACTTAGGCAAATTACATTACTGTTAGTTATTTCCTCTACTGTGTAGAATACGATGTGATCCCATCTGTTGATCCTTGATGCTATTTCTTATATAATTAGATTCTGTTCAGAAACTCTTTGGCTAATCCTTTGTCTTTGAGAGTTTTACCTATTTTATCTTCCAGCAAATTGAGTATTTCTGCTTTAACACTTGGATCTTTAATCCATTTTGATTTTAGTTTGGTGATTTATGGGTCTAGTTTCAATCTTCTGCAAGCAAATTTTTCTGGCACCGTGTGTTAAGGAGGTGATCTCTCCTCCCCTGTGTTTTTGGTCCCTTTGTCAAAGGTCAGATAGCCCGGGCCATCCCTGCATCCGCTATTCTGCTCCAAATGAGAATGTGCATTACTTCAGGCAGTGAGCTGGGGGGACACAGAGGGGGCAGCCCCACCGCTGTGCACATCACATAGGTGCTGGCCACCACAGGGCTCCTCCCATTCCCTTTCCCCTTTCCTGACCAGGTTCACAGCACTCCAGGGTCAGGAGCAAGACTTTGGAGTCTCAGGCTCTGATCTGGGCTCTGCCGCCGCCACAGCTATGTTATTTCGGGCAAACTGCTCGCCCTCCCTGTGCCTCCTCTTCCTGTCTCTAAGCAGGACTGGCTGTCGCCACATCCTGGCCCACAGCGAGGACCACATTTGTAAAGTGCTAAGCTCCCACCAGGCACCTAGCAGGACTCGGCATGATGGTCTTGCCACCAGCAGGTGTGAGTGGGCAGGAGCTGGATTTCCCCCGCTGACCGAAGTGCGTGTGTCCTCAGCTCCATAGGCACCCGGGAGGCTGAGCGCTTCGGGAGTCCTCCCCGCAGGGCCTCCAGCGTCACCCGAGCAGGGAAGGAGGAGAACAGTGGCGGCCTCAAGTACAAGGCTGGCCGGGTGAGTGACACAGTGCGTCTGGGGGACCTGACCGGGGAGAGGCCGTGCTGTCCGGGCCTGAGTGTCTCCTCTCTGCAGTTCCTTGATTGGCCTGTGAAGGCTGACCCAGGAGCCAGGTCACAGGGACACCTGGGAGATAAGTGCCCAGTGCCACCATCATGGAACTGCATGAGGCTTTGGCCGGTGACCCAAGTCCCTACAGGCCTAGACTTTGTCCCTTGGAGCACAGAACTCACCTGCTGTGTTAGAGTCACTGGGACCACTGCACACCCCGGGGACCACACCTCACCCCGCCTCTGGAAGCAACTCTCAGGGTGGGGGGTGCCCGCAGGCATCCAGTGACCCCCAAACTCTGAGAACCACCAATTTCGATTCTTGAACTCAGGCCAGGGAGCTAACAATAAGGGCTGAGCCCCTGGGGACCAAACCCAAGAGCAGAGGGACACCTGTCTCCGAGGGGACCCTAAACAGATGCGTTAGACCGGGAGCAGGAGCCGGAGCAGGCCCAAGTGCGGAGGGTGCTGTCTGGGCTTCGGTACCGGTCCGCCCGTGAGGAGGCTGGGGGACCACGGAGGTCCCCATCCACCCTCGGGACCTGCATGCAAGTGGGGGCAGCGTCATCCCCAAGGGACTGGGCCACCGCACACACCAAGGGCCCACCAGGAGGCACGGACCCCAGGCCCTTCCCTGTTGCGGTGGCTGGGGGGGGGCGGGGAGGGGTAGGGATTGGGGGGACCAGGAAAGGCCGCCAGTCTCCTTGGGGCAAGAATTTTTTTTTTCTAAAGTGGAAAAACACTCATCTGAAAGGAAAGGCAGGCAAGCAAATAAATGAGCCCAGTGCACTCCCACTACTGTAACAGACAGAGGCCTGCAGTCAGGGGCGGCGCCACGGAGGCCCGGGACTCTGAGCGCCTCCTGCGGCCAGGCGCCTGCGGGGTGCACTGCTCTGCAGGTGGGATTGCCACCCTTTACAACCGCCTCTCACCTTGCCTGTTAGGGGGTGGGCAACCCAGTGTGACTTCTTCACACTGAGCTGCATCCCCAACCCCTTTTAAACTTTTTTATTCGCACCAATTTAGGTTCTAAATTGCTCAGGCGAGGCTTGAATTTGCAGTCCTCCTGCCTCAGCCTCCCAGAGTGCTGGGATCACAAGCAAGTACCATCATACCCATCTACTTTTCCCATGTTGTACCTGAAAAAATGGAGGCTCAGAGAGGGCAGGTGACTTATTCAAGGTCACACAGCTGAAAGTGGAGAAGCAGGAACCCAAACAGCAATCTCCAGGTTTCCGAAACTTTCACCCTTTGTCCTAGCAGGCAGTGCAAGAGTATTCCCTCAGGACCCCGGAAGGAGCTGTGCTCCACACCCCTGCTATCAGCCTGAGTGTTCCCCACCACTCAGGAACACCAAAGTCTCTCCTAGTGTTAACTCACAACATCCTCTCAGTTTCCCCAAGCAGTATTACTAAGACGTGGAGCACAGAGAGGTTGAGGGACTCACTCAACATCACACAGCACGTTTCCCAGACCTCAACTCCGGTCTCTCTCCTTCCTGTCCTTCGGTCTCTTTCCTGTTCTTCTCAGCTGCCCTTGGGGAAGATAGGACGAGGGTTCAGCGGCAAAGACCTCGACTTCCATGACGACTACGGCTCTCTTCAAAACGAAGACTGCGGAGACGATGACGCCCAGGGCAGGCCGGAACAGTGTGGCCTGGAAGGCTGCAATGGCCTGGAGGTCACCAACGTGTGATGGACCCACAGCTCCACCAGACTGGACATGGAGAGGCCCCAGTGCGGTCCCCATGTACACAGCGACCTCAGGCCGAGGCTGAGCCTGCTGGGACAGAGACCAGCTGCCCAACTCGGGCAGGCAGTGGACTCTCACTCGGCGAGGATGTGTCACAGGGTGTGAGGCTCCTCCGGGGCTGTCACAGAGCTGCCAGGTTGGAAAGGGGCCCACAGGTCCCCAACGCCCCTCACTGGAACAGGAGCAGCGGGACTCCGAGCAGCCTATGCCCAGCGGAAAACTCCGCAGCAGGCAGGGACAGCGGGTGGCACGGGTGACATCTGGCTGGGATGGCAGCCCCTGGGGGCTTGGCTGCAGTCTCCTTGGCCTCCCTTCCGGGATGTGGGCTCTGACGGGGTCAGGGCCTCCCCCTAAGGTGAAGCTGATGGAAGCCGGTCCTTCGGGTCCCACGGAGATGGACGAGTGGAGGCGGTTTGCCACTCTCACTGCAGGGGACAGGTGACAGATGGCACCAGGTCGGGCATGGCAGCAGCTTCCCAATCTTGTTGTTGGGAGGAAAGCCATTGTGTCCACAGGGGCCAGGCAGCTGAGTTTAGCCAGCGACCACTGCCCCAAGTGTGGGGATGAGTTTGGCATCTGGGACGAGGGCACACTCACCATTGCTCACAGACCTTTGCTACCATGTCCCTGTCACTATGAGGTTTAGGTCCCGTGGCAAGAACCTGGAGCCTTTTTTTTTTTTTTTTTTTTTTTGCCATATAGCTGTTCTGCTGTGTGGCTTTCCCCCCAGGGCCTCCCCTCTCTGTGCCTCTATACTACTGGCTCCCTCCCAGGCCACTGTGAGGATTAACACTTGCTAACCTCTGTAACCCACTTCAGACTTCTCTTCCTGGGGTAGTGGGGCGTGACAGGGCAGGGATGGAGCGTGTGACACTTCCCACCACAGCACAGCACAGCACTGGGCCTGGCCTGGTGTCACCAATCCTGCAAAGGGAGAGGGAGGCAGGGGTGATGTCCGGACTCTCCTGACCCATGTAGCCTGAGCTGGCTGGCATCCTGTCTTTGTCGAGTGACAATCAGGACAGGAGACAGGGTCTGCACACACGGGTCCCCAGGCAGGTCCTTGGTCAGAGCCGTGACACTTCACCTCCTCTGAGGCCATCTTCCCAGGACCTGAAGGAAGACTGCAGAGAGCCCATCTCCCACAGGAGGAGAGGAGCCCTGGTGACCTTGAACTTGATCCATGACCTTGACCCATGCAGAGACCGATGTCATTCCCTGCCAACCTTCAGCAAAGCACAACTTCCTCACTATCAGAAACCAGCACCCCGCTGGTGGATAGAGAGCTGGCCTCCCATCCTACGTGTGGCCTCCTGGGGACACCAGGGCTGGAGGGGTGGATCTGGTACTCAATCTGGCTCTGATGAGGCTCCAAGCCCTGGGCGGCTTCCTGGAGTGGCAAGGGTCACGGTCCAGAGAGGACAGCAGGTTTCTCTCTCTCATCTGGTGCCACTGTCACTCCTGTGCCACATCCATCAGGTGACCTGGGACCCAGAGCCCATAAAGGGGGCAAAGACAGGGAGCCCAGGTGGCGGTGACATCTGTGGGGCTGGCTAGGAGGGCAGAGAGGAGACTGACTGAAGAACTCAGGCTTTGAAATCAATGTTCAGTGACACACTCAGAAACCATGCTGGCATTTGTCCAGGATGTGATCCTGTTGGGGACAAGATGGACAAGTGGACCTCTGGGTAGGGGGTCTCTGAGGATGATGGCATTGTCCACAACACTTGAAGCAGGAAGCCAGCAGGCCTGGAGCAACACAGGTAACCTCAAATGCATCAGGGGTCCCAGTGATGACATCACAGCACCCTCTGGGGCACCCTCAGGGACAGGCAATGAGTGTCTGGAGCTCCATGTGGCCACAGGGACAGGCTGCTTGGTAAATGATGATCGGGTGAGCTTGGTTAATCCTCCCTCAGCTCTGCTCCATGGCGGGCAGCAGGAGCAGGGGCTGGAGACAGACAAACTCTCAGTAGCTAGTTGACAAGGCATGCGAGGCAGTGACGCAGCTCAAGGACCTGCCAGGTCCCAGCCAGGCTGAGGCCGGGTTCCTAAAGGGTGGTGAGGCCTCCAGACTTGGGCCCTCAGGTGTGCTGCTCTGGAAACCACTTTCCTATGCCCTGGAAGGGAGCACTGGGCCAAGAGCGGAATCCCACATTCCTGTTGGAAACAGGGCGCACAGCTTCACTTCTGACCCGATGCCTCTGAGAGGCCCTGTGTTGGGGCTGGGCAGGGCCTGTCCCCTCCAGATCTGCCATCAGACCTTGGCTGTGGGATAGGAGACACCACACAGGACTCCGGACCAGATGAAATAAATACAGGGGGTTGGAGAGAAGCAGGATCGGGTCGCCACACAGGTTTGGGACTCGGCTGGTGCGATTTCAGCACACACTGTGATGGTCCCCAGAGCCCTCCCCAGCCCTGGTCAGGTCACCTGGGGGGAACAGCGCTCCAGCCCATTCCCACAAAGCTGCCGTGTGCTCTGGGCCATGATGCCCATGTTTTGGGCTTCATTAAGCTGTTCTCCAGGAATGGCAAAGAAAAGAAACCCCAGGGGCAGGAAAATTTCTGGACCCAGCACTATGACCTGCAGTGAAGGGATGGCCCAAGCCCTGATGGCTGCAAAGGAAATAAGATGTCTGTGAACAGAGACGAGGTAGGCAGCAGTGGCCCCAAAAGTGCCCCCACAGAATGTTAACACTGTAATAATAAATACTACGTGCAGCGCTGTTGGCAGCTGTGTGGGCCTGTTTCATTCCGTTTCCCAGCAGCATCTTTGAAAGAGGTTTCGGACCCATTTCATGGATGGAGAAATGCGGGGTGGAAAGGTGGAGAGGCTCTCCCGTTCCACAGAGCTCACAAGTCCCAGGAAGGGACTCGAACCCCATTCATCCTCCTCAGCCTCTCCTGCCCCCATCCAGCCCGCCTCCCACCAGGCCAGGCGGTGCCAGGCAAAGTGGAATTCAGGTGCCCTGTCCTGCTAGGAAAGGTACAGTCTCCTGTCCTGGAGACCTGCAGTCAGGGTAGGGGACCCAACAAGTCCCTTCTCTGCCAGCCCTCCAGGACAGGTACATGTACACTGCCAGAATGGCCTGGCCATGGGATCCCAGGTCTCAGCTCAGTGCTTCCCTGGCTGTCGCATGTGAAGTCTTTGTGGGGTACAGATCCTGACAGGGGGTCTGGGTCAGCCTGAGAGCCAGTGTTTCTCCCAAGCTCCCAGCAGATGCTGCAGGATCAGGGACCACACATGGATAACAGAGAAAACAGAGGTGGGGGGCAAGGATGGACCCTTCAAAGGCACCTGCGAACAGCCAGGCAGCTACAGACTCATCTATGATGAACCCATGGATGAGTGTGGCACCCCCATATCTAATCACCTTCCACAAACCTCATCTCTGAACACAGGAGCCTTTGGGGAATCATTCTAGCAGTGTCCAGGAGCCCTGGCTGCCCCAGCATCGAGGAGACAGGAAGGGAATGGGGGGGGGTCTCATCTCTGTGTCTCCCTATGCTTCCCCAGAGCTCAGGACAGGACCCAGTTCTCAGGACAACTAGTGGCTGAGAATCTGTGTGCAGGTCTGCTGTGAGTACTTGCTGGGTGCTAATGCTGGCTTTGCCCAAACCTCTCTTTTAATCCTAAAGCCCTCCCAAGGATCAAGAGTTGTTATCAGCCCCATTCACAGGCAGAAAGATACTATGGAGGCGTGTTCCCAAATACCTGGCCAGGGCTCTGTGTGCACCAAGCCCTCCACCACCTCTCAGGTGGAGACCTGCGCCCTAAGACAGGGTACACATCATTCCAGTATCTGACCCTACACAGCCTGCAGCATCCGGGCTCCAGCACTCTCTGGACTCCGGTGCGTCTCTGATGAAGTTTGGAGACTGGCCACCTTGGAGCCACTCTGCATCCTCAGTTTTGCATTTAGGTTATTAAAGCCCCACCCTTGGGTGCATTGGCCCCATTGCAAGCCCCCCACAGCTGCATGTGGCCAGGGGGCAGCACTGAGACAGGGCATGCCCAGCATCACAGTAAGTTCATGGAACAGCGCTGCTACGAGGTGGACTTGGAGGAGCCTGGGGGGCCACATGGCCCTGCCCTTGGGATGCTCACAGGGTGGCTAAGGGAGAAAAAAGGCTCTAGGAAAACACACCTGGAAATAAAGACCCTGAGGCAGGTGAGGATTCTGTACCTGCCAGTGACCAGGGACAGTAACCCCCAACTCAAAGACTGGGTGAACATAACAGGACACTGACCAGCTGATACAAAGGACAGCACAGGACCACAGAGGCTATGACGCACTGGATTCAGAGCTTCGAGTGATGCTTTCAGGATATTTATCCTCTTCTCCGTGTACCTTGTTCATTCGCCTCCAACTGTTGGCAAAATGGCCTAGAGGCAGACGCTGTTTGGGGCTGGTGGACTTGGCACAGATCAGGGTGGAACTCTTGATTGGGACAGCACAGAGCTGCAAGGGCCCCAGGGAACAGCCCACCCAGGCCTGCCTGCCCGAGACGATCATGCAAGTGCCTGTCCCCTCTTGGGTACAGACCTTCCTCAGTGTCCATGGGAAGTGATCCCAGGACCTTTGCAGACACCAAAACCTACGTGCAGTGAGACCCAAAACCGTGGCAGATGTGAGCCTGCACCAGCATTGCTGGCACCTGGCACCAGCATTTTGATCACACAGTATGGCCACACTCCTGAAAGAGGACTTCCAGAACTGGTTCAGAGGGTGGTGAGAAGGATGGGCTAAACGTGTGCAAAGCCAGCGGAGGATTTTGACAGTTAATGGCAATGTGTCTTTTACTGTTTTTAATTTACATATTCACTGTATTTTGTGACCATCTCAGATGCAGTGGTGTGGGATTTGTACCTGACCGATGTGTGTCTCCGGATGACTTCCTATACCAACGCACCGATAGCACCATGTAAAAAACTGCAACCCTGGATGGAGTAGGGGGACAATGACCAGGAAAAAATCTACAGGCTCAGGACAGATGCAACCTACTGTTGCCAAGTGTTCCATCCACGGTGGACGAGTCCCATGCTAGCGTGCAGTTGCAGGGGCGCCTGTCCTATGAAACTATGGTGACAAGGGGCTTCCCTCTTGCCCACTGTGCCCTTGCCCCCACCAGGTGGACAGGCAGCCAGGCTTCAAGGGAAAGGAGCCTCGGGACTCAGAGGGGGAACATGGCCCAGGCCCCAGGTGCTCATGGGAGTGCTGGCAGATGACGGAGCCTCTGGCAACATCCATGCAGAGACTGGAGGCTCCACAGCCACCACTGATGGGATGCTGGTGTGTCCTTTAGGAACACTATGTTGTCCGGAAGAGGCTGAGCAGCAGCCCTGACCCCCACCCCCCAGTGCCTTCCAAGCAGTCCTAATATCCTCAAGCCCCTCCAGATGTGCTCAGATGTTTTGGAGGGCTGAAAAATCACTTCCAACTGAGTCACAGCTGTCTGTGTTTTTGCCATTTTCTCCCTATAATAGGCATGCATTGGTCTCACCTGACGGATGGGGAAACAGAGGCACAGAAGGTTTTTTTTTTTTTTTACTTAGCCCTGCCAGGGCCCCTGACGGGGGGTAGGAGCTGGGACCTCAGTGTGGGTGCCCTTCAGTGTCGAGGCTGCCCGTCCTGGCCTTTGGGATGAGCCACCTCTCCTGTGGTGACAGTACCTAACAGGGAATACAATGTCTTCATTGTTGGGTGGACGCTTCTCCTCCTCCTGGAAGAAAATTACTTGGTTAATGACAGGTTTAGAAGCCCAGGCAGCCTTGTAACCCCCAAGAACTCCTGACTCAAAACAAGTAATCATTTTGGACCTGAGGAAGCCCAGCCCACCTCACGCCACCCCCCATCCTTCTTGTCTGATTTAAAAAACTAAGAAATGGACAACAGCCAACCAACAACAGGCCTTTACGAACTGGACAGCAGCCTCAGATGAGGGCAAAGCCCAGCGGCACCTGCCCAGCCTTTCCGATCAAGGTCAAGGCTGAAGACCTCACACAGACCAATGTCGCTCCAGCTCTGCCACACGCACAAGGATGTGGGATGCACAGTGCCACCTCCCTGCTTAACTGAGCTTTGCTGGAGCTGGAGTATTTTCTGTGGTCCACCCTGGCTCTAAGGCTGGGGCTTGTGGCGGCAGGGGGGGCAGGATTCCTGGGCTGGGGGGAAGAGATGGAAGCCCCGTTCCTGCCGTGTCCCCCGCACACAGTTGAGTACTCCTCACTGATCAGAGCTCGCAGGAACACCTGGGTGCACACATCGGTATAGAGAGGGGGCAGAGCCCTTGCTGGCCTAAGGGCACTGCTTTGTCCTCCTCCAGGAAGTCCCTGTGTTGATTGTGTCCCCAAGGCCCCCACACCTGCCACCCCACCATCACTTAGCACCTGCAGGGAGGTTGCAGGATGCAGGCTTCTCCCTGATCCTCCACCATCGTCTCTGCAGTGGTCTGTGTCCTACACTCCTTCCTTTACAAGGACAAGGGTCACATTGGAGTAGGCCCCTTCACAACCTCACCCTAACTGAATCATCTCTGAAGACCCTGTCTTCAAGTCCAGTCACAGACTTAGGGACTAGGGGTCACCAGAGAGAAGTCAGCCCTACAGCACTGGGCACGCGAGCCTCTTCCCAGAGATGTAGAAGCAGGGTCCATGACAGGACCTAGTCTTTACCAATGCCTCCTGGGTCATGTAGCAAGCCCTCACTGGGTGTGCATCTCACGCCGGGCTGGGCAAATCAGAGCTGTGGACTAAACAGTCTTTGGTCTTAGATAATGGTGGGGGGGGGAAGGAAGGAAGAAATAAAATATATAACAAAAGAGCAGATGCTGTAAAGACACGACCCCCAGAGGAGGCACGGTGGAGACAGCGCGATTGCTCCTTCCTTTCCGAAACCGCCTGTGCTGTGGTTCCTGGCCACGTCCCGACCACCCTGGCATCCAAGTTTGTGGAAGGTTTGGGCTGACTCCTAAAGTCGCAGACCTCTACAGTGTCCGGGTCATTCCGGTACTGTAACAAACAGTTGAGCCAACCCACTTACACAGGGAAAAGGGTGACAGTTTGGAAGGTGGCTGGCCCTGTGGTGCAGGTCTGCAGAGTGCCAGCACAGAGACAGGACGGGATGAAGCGGAAGAGCTTGAGCTACAAAAGACACAGAGCTAAAGAGGAGGAGCTGGGCCCTCCAATCCCCTTGCAGACCACGCCCCATGACCTCACTTCCGCCCATAAGCCCCACCTCTTAAAGGTTCCACCACCTCCTCCAGCAGCACAGGTCTGTGAAGGTCACTTATGCAGGCCACAGCACAGTGACAATCCCTCAGTGACACGAGGGTGCGGGGCCCCAGGTGCAGTCCTCATTGGTGGGAAGTAGCCATGGCGTCACCAAGGTCATGTCCAAACTCAAGCAGAAAGTGCCTCTGAGGACACCCTCCACCCCATCACCCAGGCCAGCCAGCGCCCCAGGACTGACCTGATAGATGCGTACAGGGATTGAACCCAGACCCTCTACTCTGAACTCCATCCCCAGCTCCTTTTTATTGTTTATTTTAAGCCAGGGTGTCACTAAATCGCTGAGTTTCCTGGCCTGCCTCAGCCTCTCAGAGTGCTGGGGTTACAGGCAAACACCACTATGCCTGGCTACTATGTCCGCATCTTAAAATGGCCTCAGCCCCAACAGCGTGGCCACATCTATGAGATCACAGGCCTGAGATGCCGCTCATCTTTCTCTACCACACTGTACACACGTATGCACACATGGGTACACATGTCCTGGGGCCACATGTGGAGATGTGTTCACACATGACAGCAAACGCTCATCTACAGGACCCTGCCATCAGGTCACGCTCCCACGAACAGCGTCCTGTGGCCCCTGCAGGGTTTTTCACTCACCAGGATGCACCCGTGGCAGGGCGCTCACGGTCCAGGAGTCTTCCTGCTGCTCCTGAGCCCAGGGCTGGAAAGGGGTGCTCTCAGGCACTTCCTGCCTCTGCCTCCTGATCTCCATCCCTCCTGCTCTCTAACTCTGACCTTCTTATGCTCCTACATGTGGTGAGCAGCTGAGCTGGAGGTCAGCAAACACCTTGGGACTAGAGCAAAGCCAGGCCCAGGGACATGGAGACCATATAAACCAGCTGACCAGTTAGCTCAGTGGCATAGCCAGGTGTCCGGCCTCGTGTTCCTCTCTGTCACCTACAGCACAGACAGCTCTGAGGATGTGTGGCTTTCAGTGTTCTCAGCAAAACACTGAGACCTTGTGCCCATCTAGTGCTTCCCCCCTTATTACTATGTATAAATAAGGATGCAGACAGTGCTGGGTTGTCGCTGCCTCTGCATCAGAGAGGTCAGGTCCCATCCAGTCCCAGCCTTCCTTGTGTCTCTAGTTTTTTCTTAATCTTCCTCCGCCCTCTCTCAGGACTCTGCTGATTGTGGGGGTCAAGGCCTCTACCTAGACACCTGTATTCCTGCTTTACAGAGACAAGAAGACAAGGTCACACATCGGGTAAGAGTGGAAGGAGAATTCATATCCAGCTTACATTATATCCTCCTTTAAACGGGGCATTGTGTGTCTAATAGTATAACCAAAGGTGGTATCAAGTTTTTAAAAAGTCGCAGTTAGCGGGCTGGGTAATCCCAGCACTCGGGAAGCTGAGGTGGGAGGATCATTGTGAGTTCGAGACCAGCCTGGGCTACAAAGTGAGCTCAACGCCAGCCTGAACTGCATAGCGAGACCCTGTCTCAAAAAGACAAAAAAAAAAAAAAAAAAAAGTCACAGTTAGCTCACTTATCTTGTAATAAAGCTACTCATAAAAGTCTCTAAAGAACTGTTGTTAAAAATTTCCAGATTCTATACCAAAGCTGGTAGAGCTGCGATGGGGCCTAGTTATCTATATTTGAGAGGTAAAATGCGTATTTCCAGGCCTCTGAGTTTCTGTTGCAGTACATAAGGGATGACTGTGGACCTCGTGAATATTTTAAACCTCTTTGGGTGATTCCAGGCCTGGAGTGGCCCTTGGAGGACCCATAGCACTGCTGAGAGCCTGTGGGCCACGGCACCTCGCAACCCCACCACGCACCACCAGGGGGCGGACCCCACTTGTCTCACCATGGAGCATTTTCGCGCCGCGTCTGCAAAGGTCACATGCACTCCGGACTGGCGCGTGACACCCAGCGGTTCTCTGAGCACCAGGGACAGGCTTTGGCGCGACTGAAAGGCGCGCACACCCTGCATCCCTGGGATGAGCAGTTCGCACTGGGGTCCGCAGGGATCTGACAGGGAGGGGGGACGGAGCTCAGGTGAGAACGTGAAGGACCCACGGAGAGCTTGGCCCGCCCGCGGTCACCTCCGGAACCCACTCCGAGCAGGGACTGTCTCCCTTTGTGCCAGGCCCAGAACGGTGTCGTTCACTGTGAGAGCTTTTCTCCAAGGACAGTAAATGCTGGCTTGTTTGGGTTTTGTGGTACTAGAGATTGAACCTTTGCACCAAGCTATACCCTTTCTAAAAAATTCTTTATTTTGAGACGGAGTCTCGCGAAGTTGCCCAGGGCTCAATCTCGTGAGCCTACTGCCTCAGCCTCCCCGTGTGCTGCGATTACAGGATTACAGGGCTCAGAGGCGTCCAGCTCTAAGCAGCGGTTTTATGGTTCTACTTTCCAGTGTCAGGCACTGCTTGTTCCCCTTTACCTACGTCGGATCCCGAATAAGATTGACCGCATTTTATAGAGAAGGAAGCTGACGCCCCAAAAGGTTGAGCGGCTCAGGCGATGAGCCGAGTTTAGTAACCTAGCGCTGAGCCGGGCGCCTCTTCTGTGAGGCTGTAAACTTAATCCGCAGCCTCATTGCCACGCCTTCCGGCCAATCAGCCACCTCTGGAGGCGGGCTTTAGGAAAAGCTCCACCAATAGCCTTTCGCTCTCCGCCAAGGCAAGGCTTTGGACGGACCCAGGCGCTATGCACTGCGGGGGGGGGGGGGGGTAACAGTGGTCTCTGCAGCAAAGAGGTGGCGGGAAATAAAGTCACAGCCTTTTGGCAAGCCAGGTTGGCGCAGATTCGGGTCCAACTCAGCCCCTCAATAGCTGATGTCTCTAGGCAGTGACTCTCCCAGCCTGGTTTCTCCCGGAGGTTGGACAGGTGCGTGTGAAGTGCTTAGCGTGGAGCCCCCGACGCAGGCTGGAGTTGCGGAATTAACTGGTGTCCTCTACATTCTCAGTTTTTCCGGTCGCTGCAGGGTCTTCCAGGTACTCCAGAGGCCAAAACAGGAGAATCACAAGTTCGAGGTCAACCTGAGCACTTTAACCAGAGTGTCTGTCAAACTATTTTAGTAAGCTATTTTAATAAAATAAAATAGCTCTGGGCAAGTAGCTCAATATGCCATAGGTTCAATTCCCAGTACTGAAAAAATAAATAAATAAAAGAAGCCCTGGGGCTGAGGATTTAGCTCAGCGGCATAAGCACCTGCCTTGCAAGCAGGCAGTCGTGAGTTCGATCCCTGGTACCGATAAAAAAATTAAAAAATTAAAAAAAAAAAAAAAAAACTCCCCAGACCAGGAGGACGGGGGAAAGTCCAAAGCAATCAGGAAAACCTGTCTCCTGTGGACCCCAGAGGGCAGCAAGAACCGGGACTGAACAGTGATTGTGAGAGGTGTGAGATAGCTCCTGTCTTTCCCCTGCACCCTGGCAAGGAGCAGAATGGGAAACTGATCCCAGGGACCAAAAGTGGCGCTAAAGTCCAACATGGTGTGGGAGATGAGTGAAGGGATTGATTAGATCAGCAGCCTCCTGGAAACACAGGCCAGGGTCTCCCAGGACCACTGGCACGGCACAAAACCCTCTAAATTTATATGCAGTCCCAGCAGTGAGGCGCAGGGAGGTGTCCCTGACTCCTGGCCCAGTGGGTTTCCCCACACATGTAAGACTAAATAACCTGGGAAAAATAGCTCCAGCTCCTGCCAACCACAGTGTGGTCTGAGTCTCACGGCCTCTGATAATCTGAGAATTTATTTCTATGATGCACATGCTTTTGACAGCTCTTCCTCCATCTCCTCAAAAATATCCATTTTATGTAAGTGCATGCCCCTGCCCCACGAGATACCATCCAAGACCCAGATGATACCCGGAGCCCTGGGGAATACTGAGCACTACTGGTACCTTTTGTTGTGGTTGTTTTGCTAAATACACCTGTTATGGTTGATACACTGTGTCAACTTGAGACCTTAGAAGTTTAAGGAGAGTTTCAGCAGGGAGCCAGGGTTCTTAGTTTGTAAATATCCTCAGCCTGTGCAAAGGAGGGCAAGATTTTGTGAGAGCTACACAAGGTGGGAAGTGTGTGTGTACAATATAAAGGAGAAGAGGCTTGTTTTCTCCCTTTGCTCTGGCTGCTGCCTTGAAGTGTTGCCCAGTGCCATGCCACCCTGCCTTGCTGCCAGCTGATTATGGACTGAAACCTCCGAAAACTGTAAGCTAAATAAACCTTTCCTTCCTTCATTTTGGGTGTCAGGTGTTTTGTTCCAGCTATGAGAAAAGTAAACATAACCAAGACAATACCAATCTAGGATTAAAGCTTAGCTTATAAATTGAGTGGAGTGAGAGGTTATCAAGAACAATGAATAGTGCCAGGGATATAGCTCAGCAGCATAAGCGCCTGCTTGGCAAGCACAAGGTCCTGAGTTCGATTCCTGGTACAAAAAATAATAACAACAAAAAATGTAATGCAACCATTGTAACAATAGTGTAGAAAAATCGTATGAATGTGTTTATCTTCCCAAAATGTTTTCCTGTAATGGCCTTCATCTTCTTGTGGCCATGGATGTGATGCAGTGCCTCCATGATGGGATGATATGAGGTAAGGGACGCAGGCATTGTGACATTGTGTTAGGCTGCCACTGACCACACACACACACACACACACACACACACACACACACACACACTGGCAGAAAGAGGAGCATCTGCTTCCGGTGATCCCAGCTCATCCAACAGTGGATGGGGAGGGGAGAATATGTGGTATGGATTCACCCAGCAAAGAAAGGTTCACATCTGTGGTGTGATGGCTAGAGATTTTATCACGTTCTTCAAAATGGCTCCTCAATTTAAAACGTACAATTTCTTTATTTTTGGAATTTTCTATTTACTATATTTGGTCCATGAGTGACCACGGGTAAATGAAATCATAGAAAGGAAAACCACAGGTCAGGAGACATGACTGTGTTACATGGGTTTAAAATATTTATTCCAAAGTAATTACAGTTTCACAGAAAATTGTAAAAAAACAATTATAAGAAGACCCTAAGTGGCCTTTTCCCAGCCTCCCCAAAGGGTAGCATCTTGTATAGCTACCGTACAATGTCACAGCCCTGCACTTAACAATGGCACAATCCACAGGGGCCATACAGGCTTCGTATGTCACATGTACTTGTGTATATGTGTGTCCCTGTACAGAAGCAGGCAGAGAAACATGAGCAGGGCTGGGGGTGCAGCTCACTGATAGAGCACTTGCTTAGTGTGTGGCCTCTAGGTTTTAAAGGCCCACAGGTCTGTGAGAAGCCTGTCTCAGTTACTTGCCACCTCCTGGATACTAGGGCTGCTTATTGAACCTCTCCTATAGATATTTCTTCTTGAATTCTCTTAGGGTTGCTTCTCTAATACAGTGGCGCTTCAGTTCACAAATGCTTTTGTTTATGAACAATTTGGTTTGCAAACAGAGGCATTTGCCAGAATTTCGTTTTTGTTTGTGAACTCTGCATCGAGTGACAAACACAATGGCGGCCATCTTTCCTACACCAACACTATGGCGGCCATTTATTTCAAAACTGAGGAATCAATTAAATTTGTGAACCAGGTACCACTGTCCGAGCCATCTTCCTCTCTTTACTCTACTTGGTTTCAATAATAGCATGATAATTGTGGCCTGAAGTTTACTTCCCTATCTAAAATGATACATGACCTGTGCTTGCTAAGTGACTCGTCACTGTGAAGCATTCATTCGCCAGGAAACTTGTACCCTTTTGGTGGCATGAGCTGGCACACATGCAGGGCTGCTGGAGACAGAGGAAGGGTCTTGGGTACCACACAGGGGCTCAAGTTTTAAAGTTAAGTCCTGCCTGCTGAGTAATGGACACACTTGTCTCCTGATCTTGTACCCAACTCATATTCACTCGTGAAGCCAGAATGGGCCCCCACTCAACTTTCCAGAGCCCCCCAACCTGCAGTAGCCTAATATAGTTATAAGTAGGCAGCTGGAGATGCCTAAGATAAAGTCAGACGGAAAAGTTAAGCAAGCAGCCAATTAAGCTTTGAAATGTAAAATAAATAAGTAGCCCAAGCAGCTAAGCCCAATTTAGAGACATAAAGGTAAACACAAAAACACAGGATTGGGATGAGAATAAAGAGAGTCTCTTTCCTACAGGAAAACAGCTGTATCCAGAATACCCTGTTAGGCTTTAATCACGTCTTCCAGGACCTGTAGAGACCTGAAACACTAAACAGTTTTCGGGTTTTTGAATCCCACCCTCTTTGTGCACTCTGCTTAGGCATATACATCAGCACAGAGAGCTTTGCCTGGAAATTCACTGATGACAGACCCCGATCAGGAGCTCTCTCTTGTTATTATGTCTAATAAAAACTCTCATAACTTCCTCCTTTGGTTCAAGACTTCACTCCGTGTTCGTGGAACCTCGAGCTTGGTTCACGTGGTAACGACCCTGCCTCCATCTCTTCTCCTCCGCAGCCTCCACCAGAGCTCCTGCCCTTCGGCCAGTCCTGGCGTATGGCTCTGGGCCTTGCTCTGTCCCCAGCCTTTTTGGCAAGGTCATCCACTCTGTGGCTAGAGACCCTGAGGCTCTCCCTTTCAAACTCAAAAGCCTTCTTTTTGTTCGTGGTATTGAGGAACAAACTCAGGATCTTTATACTGAGCTATGTCCCTTCCCCTTTTTTAACTTTTGAGACAAGGTCTTGCTAAACTGCCCAGGATGGGCTCAAACTTGTGATCGTCTTGCCTCAGCCTCCCAGAATGCTGGGATTACAGGCCTGTGCCATGTAAGCACAGGCTCCTACAACCCCAAGGTTCAGATTTTGAAGCTCTCTACTTTTTCGATGAGTCAGGCATTCCCGTGGTAAGAACCCAGGGACAGAACACACACAGGGGAAGGACTTTCATCAGCGCTGCCACTGTCCACCGAGCAGCACAGACCAAGAGCACCACACAGACTCCAGGTAGCCAGGGGCCACCTGGGCCGCAGGTTCCTCATCTGTAATGCACGGGAGATGTAATATCTCCCTCTCACGGCTGTAAGGATAATTAAATGTGTCTGTAGTTGTAAAATGATTAGAATTCTGCTTGGCTGGTAGTACTGTAGGAATGTTGGCTGCTATTACTGTTGTTATCTGTTGTGTTTTTGGTTTTTTTCAATGTTTTATCTCTGGGAAGGGAGCTTATTGGGCTTGAACCCAGGGTCTTTGCACTGAGCTACATCCCCAGCCTTTTCATTAATTTTTTTAAATTTTGAAACAGGTCCCACTGGGTTGTCCAGGTTGCGCTCCAACTTGCAATCCTCCTACCTTAGCCTCCCAGAGTGTCAAAATTACACACAGGTGCCACCACACCTGGCTCCTGGTCATTTACATCTCTTTAAGAGTGGGTTTCTTTGTAGTCAAGGGGCCCTCACTTGCTGCAGGTGATTTCCGTGCAGTTGCTAACTGGCAGGGGTCAGGGCAGCCAGGTGGCCTCCGGGCTTCCTTCTCAGGTGCTTCTCCAGTCTTCAAAGGGAAAGGTGGCAGCATTTGCATGTCTCCACATGCACCCCGCTGCGTGTGGCCTCCCTGAGCCTGCTGGTGCCTGGGTGGGTGCTGGTGGGCACTGACAGTCACTGGCATTCTTCCTCATGGTAAAGACTCCAGGGTTAGGCATCTGTGCCACTCCCTGCAACTCCAGGTGAATCCCGATTGTCTACAGCAACCTCCAGGGGCCTCGCGTGGGAGGAGCGTGTGACCCATTCCACTACAGGTGACACAAAGAAAGCTTCCTGGGAGTGGCAGGAAAGGTTTCACCACCAAGGAAAAAAACTTACAGGAAGAAAGGGTGTGGGGCAATTGGCTTGCAGGATGGGTAAGAGCTTGAGCAGCTCAGGATGCTCCACCACTCTTGAAGTCCTCTGAGTCCTTATCAAGGAGGCCGCCCTTGGCGTTGGGGACAACGGGAGCCAGGTCTCAGTCAGATCTGCGCTGCACATTTCCGGAATGGAAGAATGGTGGGCGAATTTCCATGATCATCAGGCTTGGGGGCAAGGGGAGGTTTTGTTGCAGGCAGCTGAGTTAGTTAGAGATATTATAGGCAGTGAGACAGGGCGAGGGCCTCAAAGGAGCAAATGCAAAGCTCAGATATCTGGCAACTGTGGGGGTGAACACCGAGGGACAGACAGCTCCTGCTGTGGACCAGGCCTCAAGACAAAAGACCAAACAAATGCACTCATGTCCTGAGGATTGATACCCTAAATAGTTCCCTATCACCCTGCGGAAGCCTGGAGTCACCATCCCATCCTTAAGAATGCCTGATTTCTACGGGACTCACTTCCCCATTTGTTCCTAATGTAATCAATTTTACCTGAACTGTTGATCTTATTGGCTAACTACAGTTATGTCCCACCTTATGCCCATCTGCCTTGTGAGTTCCCAGCCCACCCCCTTAAACCTATGGTTTTACTCTGTAAAGTCCCTAGAAAAGACAGAGTCCCACTCAGGACCCCTTCTGTCTCTCTCAGGCAGAAGCTTTCCTTCTCTTGATAAATATATTCTACTCTTAATCTCCATTGTTCCTAAAATTCATTCAGTTTTAGAGAACACGAACTCGCAGACATAGTAGGTTGGGAGTTTCATTCCCCAGTATCAGTTCCACAAGCCACGACACAAGAGATCTGGAGACCTGGTTCTCTATCACTCAGGGTCTCGAGGACCTGTACCCGGAGCCTTTGGCTACCATGGCCCCACGAGCTTCCTTCCAGGCTGTCTGGAGCATCTACCTTGCCCTGATGCACTGAGATCTCAGCCCCTAGGGATGTAGTTCTGGAATTTAAAAATTTTCAGAAAACGGGACTAAAACTGTTCCTTTTAAATTAATGGTCCCACCACCCAATTTTGCTCTATAAAAAAAATCTATTAAAAAAGCATAATTTTCTCTGCCACGCAGACCTGACTCAGCCTTTGGGATCAGGTTAGGCGGAATCAGTCATCCGGGAACCCACACGCAGGGTATGCCCCTGGCCAGCCCGTCAGGCGAGGCATTCAGTCAGGGCCAGATCGCAAGGGCGTTGTGTGATTTGCTGCTGACTTTAGCTCACGCAGCTGAGATGTCTCTGCTCAGCTCCTGTTGGATTCAGATTTGAGTCCACATCGAGCCTAAATGCAGAGTAAGTGGGAAGGAGCTGGCACTCCCAAGAGAATGGAGCAGCGGGTGACAGAGGGGACAGCAATCTAGGGAAGCCACAGGGGCAGACAATAAGAGACAAGGGGGGTCCCTGGCAAGGTGGTTCCTGGCCAACCTAAATTTCTTCAAGTAACACATTTTTCTTGGTAACTGTAATTATTTTTCACCCTCTCCCCCACCACAATGCACATATACAGAAACACGAGTCAGTTCCTCGGGTACCCTCTTCCCATAGGCTCTCCATGCATAATCAACTCTACACGGGTCTACATCTTTTTTAATTTCTTTGTTTGTCTTTTTCTTTTTTATCGGTACCAGGGATCGAACTCACGACCGCCTGCTTGCAAGGCAGGTGCTTATGCCACTGAGCTAAATCCCCAGCCCCTTCTACATCTTTTTAAAACATCACATACGGAGCATCACATGTAATCTAATTTCTCAGTTAATGATACCACTGGTGCTGCAGACTACAGGTAAGAAAAGTAGGAAGGAGACAAGGAAAATTGTAATTTAAAAACAGCTTCAGTGCACACAGTTAGCTAAGACCAATGCTTTTAGCCTGTCAGTGCAACTCATTCCAAACGGGAAAAATCCCTAAGCCCGAACATCAGGCAGGCGTGTGTTGCAGCCCGCAGACCCCAACTGGAGGAAGCTACACTCCTACTTGGGCATCGCAGCTCTAGACTTTGGGTGCCCGTACGTGGTTTGCACACCAAACAGACACTAGGAACACACATCCTAGATGTCCAGATCCTAGATCTAGTGCCTCAAGACACCCCAAGACCACCTAAACCCTAACCCCAGACGGAACTCTCATGAGTCGGCACTCTCTCACTCTGCCTTGGAAATCCTTTTTGTGTCTGTTCTTGATGCATCTTGAAAATTCTCTTTCCATCAAAACAGTCAGAGAACCTACAACCTACTCTGTGGGTGGGTGAGTTGAGGTCCCCATCTCCATGCTGGGGGCATCCTTAACCCTGGGCTTTACCAAGTCCTCATATTGACCCAGCAAAGTAGGTCTTACTAGTATTACTGTTTTTCCAGGTGGAAAAACTGAGGCTCAGGGAAAACAAGACCTCTTCCCAAGGTCACACAGCTCACAGAAGGCAGAAGAGCCAGAATCCAAAGACAGCTCTCATTAGTCTGCGTTCCTTCTAAATCCATGATGCAGGCTGGACTGTGGTGCCTCTCGAGAGCCTTAGACTAGACAGCCCACCAGTCGGCCTGAGTCTGCAGGATGGATTTATTTCCTATGGCTATTGAGACAAATTACCCCAGAGCTTATGGTGCAGAACAACACAGATCCATTTATCTTAACAATTCTGGAGGGCAGAAGCCAAAGCTGGGTCTCCTTAGGCTTAAAAGCAAGGTGTGGGCAGGACTTGCTCCCAGTGGATGCTCCAACCTGCCCCACTGCCCCGCTCCCGGGGTCCCCTTCCTGGCTAATCGCCCCCTTCCCAGCCCCCTCATCATTCTGACTCCTGTTTCCATTGTCACATCTGAGATGTGACTCTGACCCTCCCTGTGACTCGATCGGGCCCACTGGGACAACTCAGGACAAGCCCCTTCTCAGGCTCTGGAGCTCATTCCCATCTACAATCCGTCCTCCGTGTAAGGGATCAGGTTCTGGGGAGAGGGACACAAATCCTGGCTCCATCACTTGCTAGCACATCTGGCCTCACCTGGGAAACTGGAAAAATAAAGTCTTCTTTCTAGGGCTGGTGTGAGGATCAGCTAGCACATGTATGCAATGCACTCAACCCTGGAGACCAGTAAATGGTAACTGTCATCTACCCCCCACCCAGGACAATGCTTAATAGAAACACCACCATTTGAGATTCATTTCTTTGGATCTTTTCCCAGTGATAAATCTCAGACCCTTGTAAACTGACATTTAAGTGGCAAAAGTTGGCAGGTAACTTAAAGCCAGCCTCTTTGACAGGATATGGAGAACAGGGTAATTCAGAGATAATAAAAGGAGCGGGACCTGCAGGAGAGGATGGGAGAGGCGTCTTTTGCTAGCTTCTCAGACTTGCCTGCGGCTCAGCTGTCTGTGAATTTCTCCTCTCCCAGATTAACCAGGGCGGGCCTGCTTATGGAACACTGGGAGATGATTTTCTGAGATAGCCAGGCCCTGCCCAGCTGGGTTTGTGGCAGTGTGGGGGTGGGTGGGTCTGATCTGAGGTTGGATCCTCGCATGGAAAATTACCAGCTTGGCTTCCAGGTTCGAGGCTGAAGCAGCTGCTAGAATGATCCTGCTCTGCCTGAGCCTTTCCCAAGTGGGTCTCGCAGAGAGAAAGGAAAACCAGATATTCGGTCATATCTGAATGTTACGTGACTGTCTCCCATCTCTACTTTGGAGCCTGGGAAAGTACCCAAACTCATTGTCTGAACTTTGGGCACACACAGCTGTGAAACGGGAGCAATGTCATGACAGGCAGCTGCCAACACAAAGTGTTCCCTTTATTCTTGAAAATAATGTGTAATTATTTGGGGCTTATTTCACTCAACAAATACTATTAAGCACCTGCAGGCATGGGGACTGTCTACCCTGCAAGGTAGTAAGATTGTGCCCAAGGGGAATTATTTTATGGCAGGTACAACACATGCTCTAGAGTAGACAACTTGCATCTGGATGCGAATACTTTCCAGCTGTGTAACACTGCAAAGAATGTCACTCCCATGAGCCTCTGCTTTGATTTCTGGAAAGTGGGCATAATTAATAACTGCCTTTGGGGTTGTTATGAGGATTAAATGATAAGGCTCAGGGGAAGTGTATGGCCGTATTGGCTTCGTTCCTAGTAAAGATGTCAGAAATAGAAGTTACCATTGTCATAGGGAGACGTTTCCCAAATGCCTCTGCCACCTCCATATCATAAAATGAGTTCCCAATTAGCTGTTCGGTGGCCAGCAGGGACCTCTTGAACTTCTACTCTTCCGGTTTAAAGAAGCAACAATGGAAAAACTACCTAGGTCCTAGGGGACACACGTGGACACCGTGTCTCCATGGATTCGTGCAGTCCTCCAGAATCCATCACTGGGCAGTGAACTTGATCACAATTAGGCTGAGTACGTTCATCCTGGACGCAGTGGATTCCCAGCAGGAGGCGCCTTTGTCTTAGCTGGTTTCCCAGACACTAGACACCGGAACCATTGGCTTTTCTCAGGGATTGAGTTTCAAAGCGTTGGACGCTCACCCAAGAAGGGGCGCCCCCTGCCCGACCTCTCGGAATTGAAAACAACTTCAGACTGGAGGGGGCCGGCTAGCTCTCCGTCTGCGTTTAGAACTCACGTTTTTTGGTGGTGTGGTTCAGACCAGCTCTCTAGTTCTGGCACCAGGCCGCGCGGTTCCAGGGAAAACCTCCAGGCAGGGGCAGAGGCGCAGGTGAGAGGCAACCATGCGGGACCGGGTTCACGCTCCCGGGAGCTAGGGCACCGGGACTCCTGGCACAGGTGAGCCAGTGGTCAGCTACCCGCCGGGCGAGAATGGCGCGAGCGCCGGCGAGTGACTCACCAAGAAAGTTCTCCACAAAGCTGGGAATGCGCCCCCAGCAGGAGACTCCTTTGCACGGTGCAGGAACCCGGAACCCGCTCCACCCTGCCCGGGGCTGGGGCGCGCGGTCAGGAGAGCGCCCCGGTGACCAAGGAGAGGGGGTGGGGAGCCCTACTGAGGGCGTGAGCTGACTCGCTTTGTAGTAACTCGTTTCCTTCTTTGCTCTTGCCTTACCTCCACTCATCGCTTACCTCCAAGTGCACTAGCCTCGGCGGAGCGCGGGAGGGGCAGCACCCCGAACCCAGCCCAAGAAGGGAGAGGGAGGAGGTGGCCTCCCCAGGAAAGAGAAGAGGTGAGTTTTGGGCAGGTAAAGCCGCAGTGGGCCGGGCTTCTGCATGTGCGCTCGGCCTTCCAGCGGGTTGAGGGAGCGCCAGCTGTGCTTACACCCGTAAGTGCTGGGGTTCCTGGCCTGAGGGCCCCCCTCCCATTCTTACCGCGCCTAAACGCAAAGTCGCGGTTCAGAGCGCACGTACTCCCAGCCAAAGAAAGCGCCGCCCGAGCTCCAAAGACAGGATCCCGCTCCCGGCCGCGGGTGGCGCGAGGGTTCCGGGAGGGTCTCGGGCTGGGGGCGGTGCCTCTCCCGGCTGGAGTCAGCGGCGGACCGGCGCCGCCCCGCTTTCTCCGTCCCTCCCCCCTGCGCCCGCTCTCCCTGGCCGGGCTTCCTGCGTCCCCATCCCGGTCCCTGCGCGGACAGTGCGCCCTCTCTGCGCTGCGCTCCCTGGAACAAGGCTCCCCAGAGACCGCAGCCCGCGATCGCGGCGTCCACGAGGAGGCAGCCCGGGGTGGGGGTGTCACAGAGCCCCTAACCCGGGACCGCGGGGTTGAGATCTAGCCGGACGCGCTGCCATTCGGGTGAGTTCGCGCCGCGGCGCCGGGCGGAGCGCTTGTGGGTCACAGGGCCTCAGAGGGGCCGGGGGATGCGGGTCGTCCAAACATCGGAAGCGTCGCGCCAGGAGGCTGCCGCTCGAGGAGGGGTCCGGGAGTCCCGCGCCCACCCCGCCGCGTCCCGCGGATCCCGCACACACACACACACACGGGCCCCCGCTGGAAAGGCGGCTGCCTCGCAGGCCCTCTGTCGGCGGGGACCGGTGCTATCCTCCGATGTGCTGGAACCCAGGGCCTGGGGAGGCACCTGCCGCGGAAGCTAGGGAACGGAATCTAGGTCCCGAGAAGCACTAGAGAGTCGTCCGCTTGAGCCCTCCTGCCCTGACCCTTATTCCCTTCCGGCTTTTTTCGGATTTAGATTTGTGTGCGTTTCACTTTCTAGAAGCAGAGGTGTGAGAAATCGGGCCTGAGCAGCGTGATGTAAAACTGGAACCCGCCCCAGCCTTGGTTTCTCGATCCATAAAATGGGGGTGATAGTGACGTAGATGTGTAGTGCGCAGGTCGCAGGACTCAGGTGACAGTCGGATTCCAGGGGAGTCTCATGTGCACACAGACGCAAGGTTTGTGGCCCAGTGCCCATGTCTGCTGAACAACGTGGTCACTTTTAGAAAGAAGTCAGACGCGGACACCCCAGGAGCTCCATGGGCACCTTGGCAGTGGTGGGTTGTGACTGATGTCGTGATGGCCCAGGGCTGGGTCCTTCCTGGCAGTGGGGTGATCAGGCTTCTGGGAAGCAGTGCTCAGGTGGAGCGGGGTGGGCGGGGCCGAGGTGGGCAGGGCAGGGTGGTGGGCGTGGTGGGGGCAACACCCATTAGGGGTGCCTTTGGTTTTTGCTGGAGTTGGTCATGAGGAGGATAGAGTCTCCTCTCCAGGTACAATAAGTCCAGCAACAGCTTCCACACTTGGCTTTTTCCCCCAAGTGGACAGGATCAGGGCCACCTTTCTCCAGCGGGAAACTTTGCCAGACATCTCCCTACCTGATTTGCAGATGCAACAGCCCAGGCCGGGTATGGAGGCAGGAGAGTGTGGGGTGTACCAGGCAGGGAGTTACTTTGGCTGTGGATAGTGGGTTCCTGAGTGGGTGGGAAAGTAAAAGAAGTGGACGGTTGGGGGTGAGAGGACACCGACAAGGGCCACCTGGGATCACTCAGCAGCTGTTCCTGTGGGCCAGGCTGCCCTGGGGGAGCAGCAGAGCAGGTCCTACTGAGGGTGCAGGTCCCACTGGCGTTCCAAAAGTGTGGAGCCGTTTGATTCCATGGCAGTGTTAAGAAGGTCCTTCTGGCTGAGAGAAGGCTGTAGCTTAATGCTAGAGCCTTTGTCTAGCATGTGTGTGGTCCTGGGTCCCAACCCAGTACAGGCGGGCAAAGGAGCTAGAATATAATTCTACCTACATAGAAGGATCTTGGGAAAGACTGATGGAAAGAGAGGTCTGCAGGGCAGGCCCTTCCCACGTGACCAGTGGTCAAGAGTAAGATTTGTGGACTCCGTGTGGGACCCACAGCAGCAGCTCTCTCCAATGAGCAAGGCAGTGGGCACCTGGGATGCTAGCAGCGCCCCAGCCTGTCCAGCTGCAGCTCTGTGACTCTCAGCCAGATGTCGCAGGTCTGGGGGTTTCTCTGTCTCTGAGAAGGACAGTAAAGCTGAAGGTAGTCGGGCTCCTGCTGACACTTGTCCTGGACAATGGCCTCATTGAGGGCTCCTGTTTTACGGATCACGGTCCTGTGGGTGCAGGGCTGCAGGGCACGCGGTGAAGCTCTAGGCAGAACTCTCGGAAGGGATGGAGCTGGAACAAGGGCTTCGGCGCTTGGCTTCTCTTGCCCCCAGTTCCAAATTAAGGAGGGTCAGAGGGAGAGGAAAGTCCCGGCAGCCTGGTGCCTGTGATGGGCACGTGGAGGATCTGCTGCCGGTGCCCGTTTTGCTTTCGCTTTGGTCTCCTTGCTCTGGAACTTAGGGGAGTCTTCCTTGTCACCAGCGGCCACGGGGACATCCTTTCCATGTGGCATCTCCCTTTGCTTGGGGATGACAGGAGGGACCGTACAGGTCTCCGGGAAGGGGACCTCACCGTTAACATTTAACCAGTCTAGTTCCACAGAGGGGAGAGATTTACCCAGTGACCTACAGCAGATCAGAGGCAGAAATGGTACTGAACTCCAGCCCTCCTGACTCTTTTCTGGGGTCTTTCACATAATCCCAAGAGGCCTGGCTACATTCAGATCAAAGCTTTGTTTTAGGTCCCAGTCTTGGTAGTTTTAGAATATTCCAGGCTTTTGGGTGGCCTCAGAGCCTCCTGATCCTCCTTTGGTGGCCATGACAGGTGGCCCGGCCAAGCCTGGCAGGGTCTTTTCTCCCATCCCCTGGATGGAGGAGCCCCTGGTGTCTCGGCTACTCTTCCTGCGACTTCTTGCTTCCTGGACAAAGAGGTCTGTTGTGTGGTTTATCCTGCTCCTGCTGGGCTGCCCTGCCCTCCCAGAGAGCCTCAGCTGAGAATTTGTGTCCCAGAATTTGCGCAGGGGGTTCTGCAGGGTCTCACTAAACTCTGCTTTTCTCCCTGCCTGCCTCTCGTTCATTCCTCACCTCTCCCTCTCCTGGCTCTGCCTACATCTCAGGACCTCTGGCTTGGCCCGAGATTTCCATCCGGTGTTGTTTACTTGGGCTGAGCAGCCAAATGATTCCTTGTTCTCCCGTGCCCTAGATTTATCGAACACGACAGCCTTCAGACCTGAATGCCGGTTGCTTTAGATCCTAGACTATTGCAATCAGCAGGGACTTTAGCTTCAGAAAGTCCAGTCTGCTCCTTTTACTAATGGAGAAACTGAGGCCCAGGGAAGGGAAACCGAGCCAGAGCCAGTTGCCAAGATTCTCAGTTCTTACCTTGGATGATTTTGAGGGTGATTCTTGGGGAAGAAAAAAAGCCCACGCAGAGCACTTTGCCTCTCTAAGAGGCCCTTTCTGTCTCCCGTCCACACCTAGAGGTGTTTTCAGGGCACCCACGGGGACATGGTCTAGAAGGAGTAAAGGCCAGGGACCCTGCGAGACACGGGGTACACATCAAAGGGCTCCTGTCTGGAGCACAGGTACTGACCCAGCTTTGTGAATGCCCTTGTTTGGTCCTGCTGTGCGCATCTTCTTCCCCGGGTCACAGAGGTCCAAATTCACCGTGAGGAGGGAAAGTGTCATGAGTGCCACTGTTAACACTCCGGCCTCTGAGTCCGGGTGTTTGCTGCCGTGTATCCTGGTTTCTCAGTTCCTCATCCCAACGTAGACTGTCCCAAGGGAAAGTGTTTATATGCCAGTCTCGGCCGCCTGCTCCACCTGGTGTTAGCAGGGACTCAGGGAACAGCTTTTAAGGCCAGACCAGCCAGGCCACTGCCTTGGCCAGCGTCCTATAAGTCTGTGCCAAATGCATAAGAAACGTACACTCACCACAGTGGGACATTACGGGGCTATCTTTCTGCATCACTGTGAGTATTTGGGCAAGAGCTGTATTTACAAAATCAAAAGCACAAACCAGTTCTCACTAAAGTTCTTAAAAGTAAAAGAAGCCAGCCATCTGGCTGGCATGCATGTGACCCACAGTTCACACAGGGAGGGAGGAAGCCTGCTTTCCTGAGATTATTTTTCCCTGTATTTTAATTCAGACAATGCTCCCACCCAACCATCCCCAGCCGTTGCCGCAAATCTTCCTGGGGGTAAGCATTGGGGTAGCAAGAGGAGGTCCCCAGGAACGGGGTATTGGCTTGTTCACTTAAGCCCTGGCTGTCTGGAAGCAGGTATTTCAATGGCAAAGACGCACAGAGACTTGGTTTCCCAGGCAGGTGGTGCAGGGAGGTCACCCCACCGTGGGCACAGGATCTCCTGGGGTAAGATCACATCCTCTAACAGGATCGCAGCTTTGCTCACGCAGACATTGTTGGTACTGCTAGAAGTCCTGCAAGCGACCTTGGACATTTTCTTGGCTAATGTTTACGGAAGCAGTTTATATGGGAGTTTTACAGTCAGTGAAGTGGTTTTCCCGCTGTCTTTTTAAAACATGAATTAGAGGTAAGAAGACTAGAAAACAGAGTGCATTTCCTGGCGTGAGATGTATTCTTAAGAGTCCTTCTGGCTATCCTTATGTGAGCATGTAGTGAGTCACCTGTTAACATTTCTCACCAGGTGGTAAGACACCGCTCCGGTCCACTGGGTTTTATACTCTGATCCTGGGAACTTGAATTCTTTGGATGGGTCCCACAGCAGCTCTGGGTAGATTTACAAGGATAGAGCTGAGGGAGATCTGGGCAGGAGGCAGGAAGCTGTAATTAGGGGTGTCCGAAAAGATCCCGTCTTTAAAACTCTGAGACTTTAGAAGTAAAACAAATCAGAAAGTCGGAAACCACTGTTAGGCTAGCACCTCCATTCTTAGAAGACGAAATTGAGACCAGAAACACCAAGGCTGGGGTCTTGGTTGGGATCACGTGAGTGTTCAGGCCTCCCGTGAAAAAGGAGCTCTACAGATGGACCTTTGACACCTCTCCAAAAAATAGCCTAAAACCACATTAGTGAGCTCAGCCTGAAAGGCCTGTGTCCCCCAGGGCCTCTGCTGTGTGCCTAGGAATTAATGTTTATCCCAAAGCCCATAATGTTTGTCCTAAAGCCGGGAATGGCCATGCCAGTTGGCCCCATTTGTATCACTTTGGTGCCCAAAACATTACTTTGCTCAACTCAAGAATTTAGAACTCCACGAAGGTTTGGTCACCTTGCTTTGGG